TTTTTTCGGCTTCCTTTCATTTCTAAACTTTCTGTTCCTTTGCTATGTCTAAGAGTGATAAAATATTAAGTACAGTATGGTTTTAAAAAACAAACTTCTAACAAAACTCTATAATATAAAGAAGGATGCTATAATATTATGCATCTGAATATCTAATAATAACAAAAAATCTGCATTAAATATACATAATAGTTTATATGGAAAATAAGAACTGAAATAAACAGTGACATAAAATAAGAAATTTATGTAATATGAATAAGAAGCATCATCATCATTATTATTATTATTATTATTATTACATGTGTGGAGAGTGGTAAACATGCAGAGGTCATACAGCAGCAGAGGGAATGATACATAAATAATGAACAATTAAGACAGTCAACATTTACAGAATGTATGAATTATTTACTGAATGAAGACATAATTACATGTGGATAGTAAGCAATAAATCATAGACAGAACAGATACAGTACACAAAATTTTATTTGCAAACTAGTGGATCACAGACTGAGTGTTTAAGAAGACGGTTTGTAGCAGGTATGGAAGCCTGACAAAGATTACTGTATGTACGTAACATCTAGAAGAAACAAAACGTGGGGTAAAGAGCACTACTCCCAGGAGGATGGACAGTCACATACCGCAGCATCATGAGCCTGAAGGTGAGATAATCAACTAAAACATCTAGTCCTCGATTCTCGTCGTTTAGAAACTCCCGCACCCATCTGGAAGGATAACAACAATTACAAATATTGTCAGGTGTCTTATGAAAAAAATGTGTCACCTTAAAAATTAAAGCATTTAATTTTCACCAGTCAAATTTCATAATATAATATTGCTTTGTAAAATACAGCTAATATTTCAGCTAGAGCAAATAAAATCACAGTAAAACCTCAAGAAATAACATAAAAATCTGATAGGTAAATTTATTTCAGAAACCAGTTTTGTTTGGGGATGACATAGCTTTTGTCATCTTCTCATTAACCCTTTGAGGGTTTCTGACGTACTAGTACGGCTTACGACCTAGGGTTTTTGACGTACTGGTAAGCCTAAATTCTAGCGCCCTCAAATCTAGTGGGAGAAAGTTGGTAGGCCTCCATATGAAAGAATGGGTCTATGTGGTCAGTGTGCATGGGATAAAAAAAAATCCTGCAGCACACAGTGCATAATGAGAAAAAAAAAACTTTTACCGTTTTTTTTTGGGAAAAAAACAGTGACTTTGCATTGTATTTTCGTATGGTATTTATTGTTGTATTCTAGTTTTTCTTGGTTCCTTTTTATAGAATGGAAGGCATATCATAGAAATTGAGATGATTTTGACTGGTTTTACAATGAAAAGTACCTTGAAATTTTAGCTCAAAGTAGCAGAAATGTTCGATTTTTACCAAAGTTCAAAAGTAAACAAATCATGCCAAGCGTCCATACACGTCAACTGGTTTAGTCTAATACTCTTTTGCAAGTGCGCCATATGTTCTTACCATTTTTTACACTAAAGCGTAGTCTGCATAACAGTAAATCTTCTATTTTTTGTGAGAAAAAAAATTCAAAGTGGAAAGCAAAAGAATGAAAGAGGGGCCTTGAGACATGACCTAATGAACAAAGGAAATGTCATTTTAGTTTCCAGGAATGTATTTCTTGTTTGTTCTGGACCTATTCGGGAAAATTTGGGATCTTTTGAAATTTGTGTGAATTGGCCAAAAATTTCCCAAATTCTGACCACTGTACTGGATAGTTGAAATTGGTAAATGGGTGGTTTCTTGCACTCATTCAATAGAAAAAATGGAGTTCTAGTGAAATATTTATGTTTTTTGTCGACTAGTACAGTGGAACTGGCCGAAAATGGGGCTCAAAGTGGGCAAAATCGCCGATCCATAAACATCACCGAGACCGCTAACTTCGCGAGAGCATAATTCCGTAAGTTTTCCATCAAATTTCATATTTTTGGTGTTATTATGAACGGGAAAAGATTCTCTATCTTTTCATAAGAAAAATTTATTTTTTTTTTTAAATTTGGCCGACCCTGAGAACGAGTCTCGGAGAGGGCCTGTCGACCCTCAAAGGGTTAAATTCAGCAAGGTTTATAGAAGCGCTGCATTGAACCTTCACTTCAGTGCAACTCTTGCAAGAACAGATCTTGCAATGGTTCTTGCAACTGTATTTGTGTATACCTGAATAAACTTACTTATTTACTTCTATTTTGTTGACTGAGTACGAGAAATCGCCCATTCACCTGCTTCTACTACCCAATACAGTGGTCAGAAATTGGCAATTTTGCCAATTTCAAAATAGGGCCAAGAATAAATAATGAAGACATTCCTGGCACTAAAATAACATTTTCTCTGTTCATTAGTCATGTCTCCAGGCCCTCTTATATTACTCTTGCTTTCCATTTTGAATTTTTATTCACACAAAAGATATATTTACTGTTATGCAGACTACTGCATTATTGTAATAATTGTATAAATAATGTCAACCCATTCATGACTGCATGTTAGACTGGCCAGTCGGATACGTATTGGATGGTGATGTCATTTGTTTACTCTTGAACATCAGCAAAGAATCGAACATTTCCCCTAATTTGAGCTCGATTTCAAGGTACTTTTCGTCATGAAACCAATCACAATACTATCTATTTCTGGAAATAAATGGTATAAATACCGATACAATGGAAATATAAACACACATGCAGGATAATGTGATCCTTTATTGACAACGTTTCACCAACACAGTGGGCTTTTTCAAGTCACAAACAGATCTGTTTGTGACTTGAAAATGTCCACTGTGTGGGCGAAATGTTGTCAATAAAGGATCGCATTATACTGCATGTGTGTTTATATTTCCATATCTATTTCTGTAATATATCTTCCATTCTATCAAATGAGATAAAAAAATGAGAATACATCCATAAAAACCATACGAAAATATACCGCTAAGGGGCAGCTAATGGTTGAGAAGTGAACTCCGTTATTTATCATCCAATTTCTTTCATTTCTGGTGCACGCTAAGAAACGCCTTTCCATCACACATTGCCCAAGCTTCAATAAGATAGCCCAACAAATAACTGAGAAAAAAAACTATTTTCCAAAAATCATATATGACAAGCCCAAGCCAGGTACTGGAATTAAGTCACTTTGACTTTTTTGTGTTATCCTAGGTTTGCTACACATATGCTGCTATGTATGATAATCTATGTAGAGAATATAGTTTTTTTGTTTCAGTTTTATGGTGCATTATGAGTGTATATCACAGTTAGCCCTGTGTTATACTCTGTTTTCTCTAATATAAGCCCCCAAGACAGGGATAGGAGGATGGCACTTGTATCCCATATCCTCTTCGTACCTCCGTCGAACTGCTTAGTATCATGCCAAATATTATCCAGTCTGGAGAATTTACCATGTTTTTATGCTATTTATATTGTTTATGTCATATTAGATCAATTGTGATTTATTTATTTATTTATTTATTTAGAAATTTAGCATACAAACAGAGATACAAAAAATACAGGTAAGAGCAGCATGCCAAAGCCACTTATATGCATAGCATTATGGGCTGGCTTAAAATTAACTTAAGATTAACTAAGCAATGATGAAATCAGTGATAATACATTATTGTAAACAGATAACTATAAAATACAAATGAGTATTACAAAGACAGGTCATATGGTTGCATGCATGTGATATAATTGTGAGTAACATTTAGGATATACAATTTATATGGTTCAGTTATTCAGTATTTATTTGGTTTTGAGTGAGTAAGTGAACTTTGAGAAGAGACTTGAATTTATAAACAGGTAGTGTTTCTTTTATATTTACAGGTAATGAATTCCAGATTTTAGGGCCTTTTATGTGCATTGAGTTTTTGCATAGCGTGAGATGGACACGGTCATGTGTTCTGTTGAGGTTGGCAAGGAGATGTTTGAGGGGAGGGTTAATATGAGAGTTAAGTGTTCTATGTATGTAATAAGTGCAATATTAAGTATGGATGTTTTGTAGGTGAGTAGGTTGAGTGTTTGAATATATGTAGAGTGTGCTGCCTGTAGTGAGATTTATCATCATTCTAACTGCAGCCTTTTTGTTGGGTAATTAGTGGTTGAGATGGTTAATTGTTGTTGTGCCCCTTGCAACAAAATTCCATAGGTGAGATAGGGGTAAATAAGAGAGTGATAAAGGACAGGAGGGCGTAATCGTTGGTGGAAACATGTACCGTATCTTCGATAGTATGCCTACAGTCTTGGAAAAATTTTCTTAGAAATTCTTGTTGTATATATGTATGAAATTTGAGTCTGGTTATCGAAGGTGAGATTCCTAAGAATTTCTCCCTCTGTTTTGCTTTGTGATAGGTTGATCTGTTTATCGTTTATGTTAAAGAGGCTACTCTGTAGCTCTGCTACCAAATGAAATGAAGTAGTTTTGTCCAATGTTTAGTGTAAGTTTGGTTCGTCCTCTTCCAAGGTAGATATTTTCTGTAACTTCGGAGTTTACAGTATTTGCTAGCGTGACTGGGCTCGGTGTGAGGTGAGAGAAGACGTATGTGGTGTCTTTGCAAACAAGTGTGGGTTGAGTAATTGCGATGCACGCCCTCCTGGCCCTTTATCACTCTCTTATTTTGGAGAATGCGAGCATTTGGTAGGTCATTTATGTATAGGAGAAAGGAAGAGGGCCAAGGACACTGCCTGTGGGACACCAACTGATTATTGGTTGTGCGAGGAAGAGCTTTGCCCCATTTGCGTACAATATGGCTTCTGTTGCTGAGTAAGACTTGAGGTAGTTGAGGGAGTGCCCTCTAATACCATTGTGTGACAATTTTACGTGGAGCAAAGTCTGGTCAACTGTATCAAAGGCTTTTCGTAGTCAATGAGATCACAGTGGACCTTCTTTTTTCTCTATTGCCAGTGTTTAATGTTCTAGCATGTGATTAATAGCATCATTAGTAGTTTTATTAGGCCTGAATCCAAATTGGATGGGGTTGAGAATGTTATGGGAGATGAGGTAGGAGTGGATTCGTTTATGAATTAATTTTTACGAAGATTTTTGACGCTGAGGTGTGCGTTAGGGGTATTGGCACTATAGTTATTCAACTCTGTTTGGTCTCCTCCTTTTGGATCGGGTGGAACTTGCTATTTTGAGAGAAACTGTAGGGAAGGTGGTAGGGGGGATTCAATGGATTTGTTAAAGAGTGTTTCAATGTGTGCGTCGATAGTACTATGTGACGCTTTTTTGTATTTATAAGGGTGGTAGGTTTTAAATCTCCTGCATTGTTTTTTCAGTGCATTGATAATAAGGAGACTTCAGTATGGGTTAGCGGAGCTAGGAACAGTGTGTTCGGGTTGTTGCCAGCAGTGTGGTAGTTCATTGGTGGGGTATATGAGCTTGGTATGATTATTGGCAAGGTTTTGACCTATAGTGGAGAAGAAATCAATGAGTCTGCTGTTTCTGTTGGTGGGAGTTGGGGTTAATTTCTGATTTTGACTTTTTTTTAATTTCCGCTATGGTCGTGATATCTTTTTTGTTCCCTGAATTTCTGATAGGGTCTTCCAGGTTCTTTGTTATTTCAACTCAAGTTGGATAATCGGTCTCATAATACAATTTTTTTGCCTTAATTATCAGGACTGGTTAGATTGTCGTAGTAACGTTTTGTTTGGTCTCTGGTTATGTGGACACATTCTGTACTGTTTTTCATATCGGTGTTTTGTATTTTATGGATTGAGAATGTGGGTGTTAGACAG